ATTTTTTTGTTTCTGAAAAAAAAATAGAAGTATGTCAACTTATATTGCATGTTTTGAAAGCATTTGAAATAATTGAAACAATATTATTTCTTCCAAAAATGTTTTTAATGCATAAGCATTTTTGCCCATGAAAATATTTGATTGTATTGCCACTTTTTTTTTTTTAAATCTCTAGCTGCATAGTAGAGGGATTAATTCCTTGTACCTAATTTTTGGATATGCTACAAAAATCTCCCTTCCCTGTTACAGAACTCCTTCTGAAACCATATTTTAAAAAATCAAGACTTCAGATAGCAGCTCTGCTGCTACATCACCAACTGGAAAAAAAAAAAAAGAAAGAAAAGAAAGAAAGAAAGAAAGAAAGAAATTCCAATTTACTTTCCCTTTCAGATCAGCCTGGAGAATGAGCCTACATCAAATTGGTACGATCAAGGAAGATATCGCTTGCAGCATACTCTCACAAGTTTCAAAATGACTCACAAGGGTTGGAAAGCTGTATGTGCATTGGTAATGAAGAAGAAAACAGCAGGGATAGTAGAGATCAGCAATCCCAGCTTTCCCTTATAACTCATAATATTAAATTTCCAAACAAAAAGAGGTAAGCAATAAAACGTGAACCAGAATAGATATTTCAAGCATAATGGCAAATATAGTTTGAAAATATAACTATCACTTGTAGAAATGCATCTTAAATTTATGGGATAATCAAGATTTTTGCTAAAGCTCAAGTTGGCTAGCTATAATGTAACAATGTTTATGTATTTCTGCAATTTCCTACATGAATCTCACTGCTATGAAATCTCAGGAAAAAATCAGCAGGCTGCTTTGAAATGAACAAAAGCTATCAGATTTAATATATATTTTAATAGAAGACTATGTTAAGCCGAAAATGTTTATTCGGTTTGGGAAAGCATGCAGTATAGGAAAAGATGCTGTTCAAATATATTTGGTTATCAAATATTTTGTACAATATATCTTTGCAGTAAAAGTTCTGGACTCCACATTATTAAAATGAATCTTTAGAGTTAGAGGTTTTGGAGATTAATAAGAGGACTCCGGAGAACAGGGCTGCAAATTCAGGATGCAAAAATTCAGACTACCATTAAAAGATAACCAAGTGTTATCTGTTTGCTGCCATCTAATGGCTTTTTGGAATTCTGCAGCCAGCTGTAGTACTCTTAAAAGAGAAACACTCCTAATCTGGATTATTTATGATTTGCCCCAGACCTTAATTACTTTATAATTAGTTGGCTTTAAAATCTACTCCCCTGGCATTCTTTCATCCTTGTACTTCTAGTAATTCATTCACAAAGAAGCCACAGTAAATTTTTCCAAAGGAGATCAAGAGTTTACATGAGCTTGATTAAGTGGGGTCCGAATTTTAGATCTCACTCTGGAATCTGGATGCATTTTAGTTCGCAATATTGAAAAAACCTGGAATAACCAGTTTTAAAACTGAGGCAGCAGATGATTGGAGAAATTCTGCATTGACATAAATTATACTGAGTCAAAATAAGTATTGCTGATAGAAGGTGCATGTGCTTGGGTTTTTTTGTCCACATATTGCTTGTAAAAAGCCATTTCCCATTTGGAACAGAAGAAGGAAACACATAGAGCTCTTTTGTATTTTGTTCTCTCTTTCCTAGGAGAGAGAACTGTGAAATTTTAAGAGTTTTTGGATCTCCAGTTCTTTCATGTGTGACTAATCCTTGGCTATTTTTAAGGATTTCCTAAACTAAAAAAAAAAAAAAAGCAAAGTCCACGGGTTGGTAGGAAGGTGACAGTAGAGAGGATAGAAATCTGCAGATGAATTTCCATCTTTGGAGAACAGAAGTTACTCAATGAACTCATAAGAAAACATCTAACAATTCTATGGCTTCCAAGATTACAGCCTCTGTCAATCTACCCCCTAATTGTTCACAGCACTGCTTTGGCTCTTTTCACTACAGCTGTTAAACTGGCAACTTGCTTTTGACTTTAGAATATATATGATTTAAAATGAATTCAAATAGATGAAAAACAATTATTAAGTAACATTCATGACTGGGAGCCTTTAACTATCTGAAAATAGTGTGTTTTTGTAATGGTTTGCTTTGCCTTTCTTTGAGCTTATTACATTCAGTGAATTATCCATCTCTTCTGTGAGCTATTTACAGCTATTTGTTCCCAACATTAAATTAAATGTAAGTTGTTCCTCTTTGGTGCTGCAATTTTCCCTGTCATTCTCTATTTCTCCAATCACCTTTCTACATTGTTCAGTTTCTACCTAAGAGGTCTGTTGCTACCTTTATTACCTTTGAAAGGAGGCTGTATATTAAAGATGTGTTCTATTAACTAAAATATTGTGTTACTTTTCTAAATAAAAAGAATTAAGATGAAGAGTGTTATTACTTCCAAATGCCTTCAAATATGCATTAGTACAAGAACAAAATATTCTTTGTTTTTATTTTTAGATTGCTCACAAATCGCCTCCCCACTCTCTTGATTTTGGTAAGCAAGCTTAGGCTTTATTTGAATTTTTTAACAGGAAATCAGTGCAGTAGTACATAAATAAATAATTCACCAGAATTTATTAGCAGACTTGAAACAAAAATGTGAAAAAAACCTATCATGGCCAAAAATATTTTCTAATAAATGCAACCCATAAAATTTTGATGGTAAGCATATTTCCTATTTTATCATTAAAACAATCCATGTTTGTCATTAAAATATCAATATTAAAGTCTGTTTCCCTTGAAGTGCAACCTATTTCCGTGCATTGCTAAAAAGGCTGCTGGTCTCACTGGAATCAGTGAGATTTTCTTGTAAATCAACCAAGACAGGATTAGACTGAATGGCTCCTACAGCTATTAGTTATCAGTTGGGGAAAATGCACAAACTGCTTTCCTTTCCATCAGTAGCTGCAGATTGAAACTAAAGGAGAAAATCGTTTAGAAGGACTCCCTTCACATCCCTCACTCTCAGCAATGTTTGATGCTTGAAAGTGATATAAAGAAAAAAGAAAAAAAAAAGCTAGCTGTCAGCTATTATCACCAAAGAAAGCTAAAATCCCCCCACATCAGTTCATGGAAAAGTTCAAAAACAATATATTGAGTGATCTATAGAGGTATTAACTCTTTAGTAATTCTGAAGACTGATTACAAAAATAAAAGGCAGCATCTCCCTTTTTCTTCCCTTGGTCAGAGCGTTTAAGGCAGAAGGATAGAGATCTCAGAAGAACATTTGCTATTCTTAATTGTGCTGAAGTCCAGACCGCACATAGTTTGCTAATCCTGCATGGATGAATTGATAGCGAAATAAAATCAAAAGCTTGTGAAATTGCACAGGCTATGGGAAGAGATGATGGCTTAAGAAAAGAAAGAAAAATGAACCTTTGTGCATTTTCCTGCATTGATTGCTCTTTTCTTAACAGTGCTGCTGAAGGATTAAAACAAAACAAAATCTGTACCGTAAATGTTTTACTAAAGCTCTTTAATTTTCGCTTTGAGTCCTCATTTACTATTAAGTCATGGTGGGCAGTGTTTTAAGGGTCAGCAAAATTTCTTGACTTTCCAAGGTATTATATAGATCACCTTGTGACATAATGTTACTGGGGGAAAAAACAGAGCATCATTATTGGGCTCCTTTTTTCATAGGGGGTGGGGAGGCTTGAAGGTGAAAATGAGAGCAATTTGCTTTACAAAGCCATCACATTCCCCTTGCCATCCTTAAAGTCCTCTTCCCCAGAAACCAATGAAAAAAAAATGGATCAAGATTCTTCAAACCTCAGCTCTTACATTTTAAAGAAAACAAAATTCACCCACACATAGTTTACTGAAATTCAGGCATTTTGCTACCAAATGTTGGCACTGCAAATTCAGACTATTAGAGTGTCCCAGATGGGGTTCTCTATTAAGTATTTAAATAAATAAAAAAAAAAGTTCATTGTTATACATTCTGGGTCATCCCAATCCATTGGGCATCACTATCTAGTTTAAACTAAAGTAATTGATGTCTCTCTGCCATTTTCAGCACCTTTTTCTTTTTTAATGTGGAAGTTGACAAGCAACTATTATTCACTTAAAAGAAGGATCTCCAGATATATTGGGATTACAAGTTTTTGTTGTTGTTGTTGTTTTTTAATTTGATTTATATGCCGCCCTTCTCCGAAGACTCAGGGCGGCTTACAATGTGCTCAGCAATAGCCTTCATCCTTTTGTATATTTATACAAAGTCAGCTTATTGCCCCCACAACTGGGGGGGTTCTCAGTTCCTAGAATTATAAATTTGAAAGGAATTTAAAATTAATGAAAATATTTTAGTGACAGATTTTCCAGAATACTGGACCTTTTAAAATGTCTTATATTGAAGTTTTTTTAAAAAAATCTTATATTTAAGAATGTTAAGAACCCCAATATTATTTTTCAAATGAATTTTTATATTCTTATTTACCAGTATTTCTTGATTAGAAATTAGCACAGAACTCAGCACACCAGTTCATTCTACCATTGTTTTCTCCACCCACCCACACACCCACCCAAAATTTTAAAAAAGACAAATACTACACAAACACACTCACACACACCAACATAGAAACAAATGACAGCAACATTGGCCGATGAGAGAAAACGCCAAAGATCCACAATCGGGCAAAAGCATGAAGGATATTTAGGATGCCGTTGGTTTAATCAGTCCGTGTTCATTTTTACCTATTTCTAACATTTATATGCATGCTTTTTTCCTTCCAAAGGAAACGGGAGTGGCATAAAATAAGGCAAAAATGTATTTTGTAATAACAATTCTCACTGCGGCCAAAATAGCTGAGAGGACAGCAAAGCCTTAGTAAATCGTTTTGTCTTCCAGAATAGAAGAAGTGAAAGTGAATCTCAGGGATGCAGCCTGTCACAGGAGCAGCATTTATGCACCCTGACAGTTCATGAATACCTGGAGTGCTGGACAGCAAAAAGGCCCCTGTGAAAGATCTCCATTCTCAGGCAAAATTATACTGAAAAATGCAGCCATTCAGGTGACCCGATCTCAAGCTGTTTAGGGTTGGTGAAAGCCCACATTTTAAACCACTCTTGGAAATGAATAGGCAGTCACTTTGTACAAAGGGGTGGGGAACAGGCATATAGGTCATGCCTGTAAGGATCCCGCTGCTGATGAATTATCCAAATTAATTTTTATGAGGTAGGTTTTAGAATTAAAGGCATACAGCTTTATTCTTTGAGCTTATTCAGTTCGGCTTGGTTAGTGTATTAGAGGGGGGGGAGCCAAAAACTGCATAAAAATAAAATTGTCATTTTCTATTTTAAAAAGGCTGGCATATTTGATTGCATACCTAAAATTAGAACGTTTCCTCACAGTGACTGAAAGGACCAAGCACCAAGTTTGCTTGTTTATTTGTTTGTTTGCTTAAATATGTCACACATTCATTTGAACAGAAGGGATTTAAAAAAAATAAAAAAATGATTGCCACTTAGGTACAAGAACAAACATTTCTTTCAGAAATACTACTTAATGACTATTTATATTTCTCAAGTTCAGGAAATTCTCCTCACAAATAGAATCGCACATTTAGCACCACTCCACGCAGATATGACCTTGGCTATTTTAAAATGCAGGAATCATAAATCAAGCATGTGTTATATGCCCAGCATCTTTTTTTTTAAGGGAATGGGTGGGTTTGATATGAAATTATGAAAATAAACATAATTAAATTATAGCATACACACGCTCACCTGCATGCACGCACACGCACACGCACACGGACAGTTGTACCTACTTTAATTGAAGGAATTTGACTTAATTTTCTATCTTCACACAGTTTTTTTTTTTTTTCAAAAAAGGAATTAGGTGTCATACAATACACAATAAACTTCGCCTTTTTAAATTTTAATTTATTTTTCAAATCTTCAGTTTATATCAGTCTCTCTTTTTCTTTTTTTCTTTTCCTCCCTGCCCTACATTTGTTCATTAATTGATACAATCAGAATTAGGCAGATTGGCACACTATCTTTGAAAGCCTTCTCTCCCTCCCCCCCCCAATTGAAAATTATTGAAGTGAGGCTGTGGTCAAAAAGAGGCTTTTCCACACTAGGCCCTCAAGCTACATTGGGCTATACGTTCTGTCATCCCCTGGATGCCAAATTGCTAAGCAGAGGGAGACTGGGCTAGCATCTTAATATATATCCCTTGATGTGCCTTGAGGTTCAGTATATCTTCTAAACTGTGCAGTGAAGTCTTTGGTTATTCTGTTTATCAAACGTGCTGGAAAATGTAATAATTCCCATTGATATTAAGCAAGGAACTGAAAATGAACGCCAGCTCCTGATCAGAATTTTGGCCTATACAGTACTGTTATGCCTGTAATGCTTTAACTACTATTTAAACTGCACCTTTCTTTTCTCTTAGTAAAGCTGGATGTGGAAGGCACTACCTTAATGAAAAAAGGCAAATGGAAACAAACTGCATATTCTTTGCCATATATAAGTTGCTTGTTCATTTCTATTTCTATTTATTATTCATCAAAGTGCTTAGATACTTAAAGCTGATTACAGAAGATGTAGCTAATGGTAAATGCATCAAGATTGGGAACTTGGCTCCTATTTGTCTCAGGAGAAAAGCTTTATCTTTCTCTCTGTGTGTCTGTATTCTCTTTGGAAATATTGTTCTACCTTGCTTCTATTATGCAAAAATCTTCCCCCTATTCATTTTTAGCACTCAAAGCAAGACACAGTTTGCGTATTAAAGATCCCCTAATAAAGTGCATTACACATTTTAGCATGCCTTTTTAAAACCCGTTCCTTTTCAAACCTTAATTTCACAAATATCTAATTTTTCATCAGTCAGATCTTTGCTAAACTCCCCTTCCCTAATAGCTTCTCATAACCTATTCTTAACCTACCCACTCAAGAATATCTATAGCTGTAAACAGTGCAGATAAATCCATCAACCATCAGCTTTTAATGGTGAAATACAAAAATTAAAGAAGAAAGACCAAAAATGATCATGGAAAGCATGGAAAACAGAGTAAAACAGAAAAATCACAAAAAGGGAAGAGAAGGAAGAAGTGAATATAAGCAGTTCTACAATCTGTGTACCATGATAGGAAATACCTCTGTCTTCAATCTTCTAAAAAAAGCAATCTCAGTTAATAGGCAGAATCTGATTCAAGAAACTGGAACATATGGCATATTTTTATAAATGATTCCCAGTTCAGCAAGGCTATAATTTCAACTGCAATTTTGTAGACTAAACAATCTACCTCATTAAAAAGAAAAAGGAAAACAACAACAACCCTCCTTTGAGGACACAGGATGGAATTATTACTATAATATCAGAAACATAAATTTACAAAAAATAAATAGTACAAATTTATTTATCCAACTGATTCTGTTTAATCTATTTTAAAACTGCTTTACTTGGGCCACAATTTCTCAAATTTTATTTTTCCCCAAATATATTAGAAATCTTATGACTCACTTTATCATTTTAAAAAATTACAAAAAGGCAAATATTACAGTGGTTTTAGGATATTAGTTAGTTATGTGTGAATTAGTTATGTTCCTTTCTACCTGTCTCCGGACTAAAAATGGAGCACTCCAATAGTAATTTTCTCATTGTTTGCATGCCTTTAGCTTGGTCATAGATCGTCATTATAACCAGAATATCAACAAATAGCATTACAATTCTTCTAAAAATAGAAAGAATTATCATAATAAAATAAAATTGAAGATTACTAGTGTGGAATTATAAAATATAACACCAAATAAAATGGCAATTTATAGTCTAAGCTAAAATAGTTAAGCTAAGTATCTACTGTATAGCTACATAAGAAATAAAAGGACTTATATAAAATTTTAAAGCTATCCTAACTTATAATGAGCATAATATTTGCTTAGACCTACTGGAATTTGATTTGGATAAATCAAATGAAAAAATAAAATAATTGCCAAAAACCATGGTGGCTAGAAACCATCAAAGCTGACACTAGTCGGAGCATAAAATAACCGAAGGAAGCTGTACAAGATCAGAAAATATGGACATGCTAGAACTTAGAATTGCCAAGAATCAGATTGAATGGAAAGCATCATCATCATCATCATCATCATCATCATCATCAGTATAATCCAAACAGCTAGAAGTGAGATGTTAACAAGTTCAAACATAGTGAAAGCAGGAGGGAAGGAAGAGGAAGGAAGGAAGGTTATGAATATATTAAATCATGCTCACTTAGATACTGCCCACCATTCAAGTTAGCTCAGACACAGAATTGGGCTACACTGTTTGAAATCCCTATTTCCTAGTCAGCTAGCAAGAGGTTAAGCTATATCAGCCTCTGTCCTGGCTGGGTATTCTGTTATGAATGGAAAAATATCCGTATCTTTTTCAGTTTTCTGGAGAAGAGCAGCTCAGGAACATGGGACCCAAAGTTTCAATTTCCCCCTCTTACAAGGGCAAAAATGCTGCTCTTTAATGATGTTATAAAACCTTTTCTCCAAAAGGGTGGAAGGAAAGCATTACAGGGGGTTAAATGTAAAAATCTTCCAGTGTTTTTAGGGGCAATATTGTGCAGCTAATGAGCAGGTAGACATTTCTGAGTTCATTGGAGTAATATAAGGTGCCCCTGGCTGAGATCCTTTTGCCGGGCAGTATTTCTGCCCATTAGCTCTTTTTCCCATTATAGTAAAATGCATGTCTTCATCACATTTGGAAATAGTATGTGAAGAGCTAATGTAGTGTATATAGTGTATATCCATACTAAGAAGCTCAGAAAACCTGCTGGCATTCCTAACAATGCTGGGCTAAATTAATGAATAATCTCAACTATGTATCTTTTGGTTCAGTGTATGTTGTATTGAATGTACAAAAAGCAGTCTAATTACATTTTCTCATAGCTTTGTCTACTTGTTGGCTTATTTTTTGTTTACAAAATAATGTATTCTCTAAGTTTTTCATACTCCAAATGAAGCCAACAAAAGCCCCACCCCTCCAATGAAATATTTATCCACTGTATTGTAGTTATGTAAAAGTAGGGCTTTTGTTTGTTGAATGTGTGACTACACAGGACTATATGTAATACCAAATCATATACTTAGAAAGGAATATATTGGTGGGTTGAGTTTTGTGTTTTTAGATTTATAGGGAACAATTTCTTTTATCCCTACACTTGAGTGTTTACCCAATACCAATAGCACCTGTTTTACATTCACTTATTCCATCCTGAAAATAATTTGAAATTGCAAACTTCATGGCTTTTAAATGCCATGACCTCCCCACCCTCCCTTTTGACATTTTTCCTTTCCCTTTATTTCCCTATTTTTATTTTTATAACAAGCTTTGTATTGTGTTTGTACATATCTGTCTAAATCATCAAATATTTCAGGTGAACTATATCTGTTAAGCTTATTTTTCTTAAAGTTATCTCCATCTGAAGATACAGATTTGTTTTTCTTCTTTCCTTTACCCCACACTGTGCTCAAAATTAGGGATCTGACTATCAAACAGTTTTTTTCATGATCATATTTTATAATATAATCATGTTAAATTTAAGGACCTTTTTTCTTTCTCATTGAAAGAACATTTATGAATGTTGTAGTTCTTTCTACCAAATACTGAGCCCTATTGTAACCAAAACTAATATTTTAAGTGTAAAAGATTTTTACTTAAATAAATAAATAAATAAATAAATGTGTTTATGAAGTGATGACAATAAATTAGTTACCCATCATTAAGAGATAAAAGATATGTATATTGCTTTCTTTCTTTCTTGTGATGTTGCACTGATTGGTGTATGTCAGCAAAACAACAACAACAACAGCAAATCTTGCAAAGATAGCTGAGAAAAACCAGGAATAGAAATAGGTGTCAAAATAAATAACTTTTTAACAATCCCTATTTGCACTAGAAATGTTGGCAATTCACTACTAACAGACCACCTTCCAATTAGTTCATATTAAGGGCTCTTACTCTCCACCTCTGACTTCAGTTCTTTGGACATTCATAAAAAAAAATGCAGGGGTCTGTAATCACTTACTTTCTTTTGGTTCTACTGTTTTCAGTGACATAAATCTCTTTACAGTGGAACATTACATGCATGTCAGCAGTGTCAATTGTGAATTCCCCCTCTCTCATTTTCTCTTTTCAGTTGAAAGCATGGGATTTTCATGCAAATGCTGGAGCTCCCCAATCCCATCCCTTTCCTGGAGGCAAGTGAATGACATCTCTATATCTGAGAATGAAATGCAACTCCACTGAAAGCAGTGAAAAATTCTCCCCACGTACATGAAAGGCCTCCACGTATTGTAAGTTTCAACTGTTTTCATTCGGGTTTTGTTTCATTTATGTGTCCGCGTATGTTCCCCAACTCGAGTGATTTGCCATTTGATTCAGCCGGGTTAATCTTTATGGGTCTAATCAGTGTCCTTTTGCACAGAAACATGATCTGTGCCTTTCCAAGCATTTGTATGGCAGGCAGCTACACAGCGGCACATACCATAATCCCTTCTCCCACAGTTAGAGCTACTAGAAAGGCTTAATCATATCCCAGAGGCAAAGATGAAACCGTATCTGCACAGCTACTGTTTGCTGTAGAGAGCTTTTGAAGTTACGCTTAAGATGTCTTTATTTCCCCCCCAGAAAGATCCTTCTCTCTTTCTTGAGATTCTTCATTCCAGTGTTGTTATGATGATGGTTTTCTTCTCTCTCTCTCTCTCCCTCCCTCCCTCCTTCCCTTCATCTGTTTCATTCCAACTCTCTTCCATAAAGTATCAGGGAATGAGGAAAGGTTTCATTCTTCAAACGTTAGATCTTGGTAAGTGCATATTGTCACTGCATTGCTTGCTTGCAGAGTTTTCTTTTTTCTTTTTCCTTCTCTTTATCTCTTTCTGGACAAAAGGTATTTCTTCATATACTGAACAACATCACAATTCATCTCTCCAGTTGTCCCACGGTAGGAGTTGGTACATATTATATTTTGTTCTTCAGCTAATCCTGTTTCTCTTTCACAGTAATTTTTTCTTCAATACCTGCTACTAGCAGCCACCACTTTCAGTAATATAAAGTTGAATTCTCATTGACCCCATTTTTATATAATTTTATATAATTTTGAACCGTCAGGCACAAAATGCAGGGTACTTCCATAACATCACTAGTATCATTCACAAAACGATCTAAGCCTGACATTTTACATTCAGGTCCTTCTCTGCTGAAAAGACTTGTCATTTTTTTTGTTGCTGTAATGGCAGGTGGAAGTGACCTTCAGAGGAAGGAAGGAAAAACCAGACTGGACAACTGTCATATAAAAGATATTTCAGTCCACAGAAGGAGGAGGGAGGATGGGAAACATTTCAGAAGAGACATTCTTTCTAGCTTTCCAGAGAGAGAAAAGAAAGAAGAAATTCTTTCAACCTTGCAAGATTCTGTTAGTGTTATCTTACAATAAAAAATAGAGTTAGTACTTATTATGCTTCGTGTCTGGACTATCTTGAAGTGCTGACTGCTGCTCATGTTATCAGAGTTTATTTTATTTTATTTTTTTATCTGAAAACTTACATAGCTGTTCATATTGTAACCATAACCCTGAACAACGCACAAAACAGTGAAAACATAAAAATAAATAAATCACATTAGTGAAGGGGGAGTTTCAAAGATCAATGAAGGGAGAATTCCCTCCAATGGAAAATGGAGCTACAGCTGAGCAGAACAAGCAAATGGAAACCTGATTTCAGCTGCTCAACAGCTGATACAGAAATTAATCAGCTCAGTTTTCCAGTCCTGTAAGCGGGGTGAAATCCAGCAGGTTCTAACAGGTTCTGGAGAACCAGTAGCGGAAATTTTGAGTAGATCGGAGAACCAGCAAATACCACCTCTGGCTGGCCCCAGAGTGGGGTGGGAATGGAAACTTTGCAATATCCTTCCCCTGCCATGTCCACCAAGCCACACCCACAGAACTAGTAGGGAAAAATTTTGAATTTCACTCCTACCTGCAAGTATTAGGCAATGGTGGGCTAGAACTATCTCCATACTGGTTTAGAATCCCTATATAGAAGAATCCTTAATTAGTCTTTCATCTTAACACCAGCTGCATGTGAATGGCAAACTAAATATAAATGGAAAGAACATTTCTATCAACAATACAACATATATAACAAACATTATATATAACAAACTCAAAAGCCCCTTATCAACAGTCCCAAATACTCTGCCTCCGTTCAAATCAGTATGGAGATCCTCCATCCTGGGCCATCAACTTTCCACCTTTACCTACTTTTACTATCTTTAGCATTTCCATCTTGGCACTTCCCATTCTTCCCTAGTTGAATGGAAGGTCGTAGCAGTACTGATGAAGCAAAAAAGTTATCTTTTCTTCCATCTAATTATGCTTTTATTTCTTCTGTCATATGTAATTAACGCACAATATTATAGAAGAGAGAAAGAGTTTTTGAAAGAAATGTACCGGTACTTCCCATAATTCATTAAGGTAGATCATGATGTCATTCAAATCAGAATGACAAAGAAATGAAAAGAAAAAGGAGAAATGTTTTATATTTTCCCATTAACAGTTTCTCAGCTGTCCAGTAAAGAGGGAAGACAATAGAGATAAGGAGTGGAGTTGAGGCCTCTCCAGGCCACATAAAGCCTATACTGTATTGCCATGTGGTTTTTTAATTGTAATATAATCATGGATGAATAGACAGAGGATGCTGATGTATCACAGATTTCCATTCCAAATCTCCATTTGCTCATAATTAATATTCTTTCCTCTGTAGTACATAATCTATGGTGTGTGTGGTTTTTTTTCTTGCTCTCTCAAAGAAATGAAAGCTTCCAATGTCAAGAATAATTACACAAGCTGAATCAGGAGAACTCCATGGGGCCTACTCAGATTCCGTATGGATTCCCAAAGGCTGAACGGAAGGTCTTCGAAGGAAAAACACAACAGGAACGTTATCCATCTGTTTTAAGGGTCTGGCAAATAGAGTGCTTAATGTCACTCTTCAAAATTGCGTTATCTGTCATGACCAGCTGGATACTGCAAATGATGCAAGTACAAAATAGCACTGCAATGGTTTTGCCCTGCTGCTGCTATTATCAATTTCAGCTTGTAGGCCCTGGCAGCAAAGCAAGCTCCATGGCTCCAGGTTTTAGAATGACCTGACAAGTTTTGTGGTGCATAGTGTATATGAATTATAGCTACCCAAAATCCACCACCCCCCATACACACACCCCAGATGGATGAGAGCCATTGAAACCCATTAAGAATCATTTTGACAAAGAGTTTGGGTTGTTCTTCCCTGCCACAAGGAAAATGTCCTATTTCTTCAAGGGAGATAGAGAAAACTGCAGGTGGGAGCTAAAGAACATTCTGCTTAGTCTACACAGGGTTTAGCTAGGAATTAAACTTCTGACATCTACACCTATTACCACCAAATTACCTCCCTTTCCCATACATGTCAGGGGGATTCTGTTAGAGCTCTGTGACTGATTTAACACTGATTCAACATTCAAGTTTACTTTCCAAATCTTTTTTGAAATGCCAAACTGTATTGCATGCCTCTGAATGAATTAGGAAACAGATAAGACTTAAAAATTGGTTTATATATAAATGGCAGTTTTCTAAAACAGTTCAAGAGTCTGAAATGGTTTGATTCAGTTTCTAAGTCAGTATGAAATTCAAACTGAATCTAATCAGTCTTCTGCTGCAAATTGGAAACTTGACTCAAAGCAAGCTAGACTTTCAAATCGATTCAGAAATTCAAATCTGATTTTGGGCAATTTTTCACACATTCAGTCTATTCCATTTCAAATTTCAATTGTAGGAATTTTTTTATGAAATCCCCTTGCAGACAACAATGATTTTTTAAACAAATTCTAACATTAACAAATAATGAGAAAATATGTAAAATGAAATATGCCTATATAAAAATAGAGGTTTTACAGCTGGAGAGGATGTATTTTTCTTTGGTTACTTGTCAACCAGATTGGCCTAATACGGTTTTGAAATATGACATAACAATGATCTTCTAATAATAGTGTGCCTTTTAAGCAATTCAAATATATTCACTTCTAAAATAAAATTGTCACCTTGGGATAGCCCATTTAATAGGCTATAAAAGAAGCATGTTCCCTGCCCCATCCTGCCCTGCTTTTGTTTATTTGTGCCTTCAAGTCAGTGTTGACTCCTGGCAACTGCCTGCAGTTTTCTTGACAAGTAGTAGTTTTTATCTTCCTGTAAGCAACATGGCGAGCTGACCCCTTGTTGGTTTTTATGACAAGCAAGACAACTTTTGTAAAAGGAATCATCATTGGATGCTGGATCTGAGTCAACATAATCTTTCAGAAACAAAGAAAGGATTGTTAAAATCATCTGCTCAATTCCGGACAGCCTCTCCTTGTGAGTAGACTGCAGAAACTGCCATTTGTATGATCAGTTTATGAGCGGTGGGATTGAGACTCGAGATTACATCCACACTCATAAATCAGCCTTTAGAGGCATTAAACTCAATTGAGCTTTATATCTTAATCAATTATTTGGATTTGGATTTTATTTTGTATATTGGACAGGCAAGGTTTTACTGCATTCATCGGGTGAGTTTCTTCCTCTTTAAAATGCAATCATATAAATTTAATTTGAAAAGTTAAAAAATTATGTTTATGCAACAAAGAGGTGCTTAGGATTTTAGAATGTTAATAAAAATTAAGGGGTTAGAAGGATTTGGAATTATTGTTTTAAATTATTGAAAAAATATTTTCTCATGGGAAAATGGAAATTGCTTTCATTTTTTTTTTTTTTTAATAAGAAGACCTTGAAGCCTGGACACTAAAGCCAAAGGATAAAGAAAATGGAGAAGAAATCCTTGGTGAAAACTTCTGAATACCTTTCAGCCATGTGTTTGGACAGAATGGATGAAATGCTCAATAAAATTGACAGAGCACATTCTAATGAAGTTGTAAAGCAAGAAAGAGCTGCAATGGATGCCTATGAAATTAATTTGAAGGGGGATTTAAGTGTAATACAAATGGATCTGATGGATGATTCATTCCATAAAGGAGATGAACATATATTAAACCAGGAAAGTGATTTGGATTTTTTTTCTTCTTCTTTTGGATATACAAAAGAATTCCACTAAGATTTGAAAGGACTTTTCTTAGAAGTAACAAACAACAGGATAAATATTACTTATTAAAAAAAAATCTATTAAAGTTCTGAAGGATTCTTCTTTGAAACATAGACGAGTAACAAAATACCTCTTGGTTTTTTTTTTTTTTTTTTTTTTAAGGAGTTAATAATTTTTAAAAAACTCAGGGAATATTTATAAGAGCTTGTTTGACTAAGGTTAAAAGAAAAAAATAGTTAAATTTATTGCCCTTACTGGACTTTAGCTAACAAAAACTGATTGATGTAGCATTTGGACTTTGTTTTCCTTATCTAAAAGATGAGCTATGGAGAGAAGAGAGATTATGTTTTATTAGAGATGGTGGATAACCTATTAAAATGTTGAAAGGGGATTCCCCCCCGCCCTTTTTTTTCCTTTTTCCCTTTTTTCTCTATTTCACATTTTTTTATTTTTTTATTTTTTCCTGTTTATATTTTTTTGTAATTTGTATTCACTTTTATTCTATTTATCATTCTTAATAATTTTTTTTTTTTAAAAAAAGTGGTTTGCCATTGCTTTTAGGACTGATAGAAAGAAAGTGTGACTGGTTCAAGGTAACCCAGCTGGTTTTGTGCCTAAATTCCTTCTATTTCTAATCTGATGCTTTAACCACTGCACCAAGTTCTCTTTTTATTTAGTTGCATCCATTTCATTAGGCCATTTGACTGAATTTCAAAGCTGCTTATTTTAAGAATTGTATCATTAAGACTGATAACTGAGTTTGCTTCTTTTCTTCAACCTTCCCCAACCTCTGTGTCATATTTTTTACTTTATAAGATCATTGTTTTTACTCTTGGTAAATCAATCATGAGCTCTTTTGTCTCAAAGGTAGACAATATTTTGAACAAGCAAATAACAGTAATCTTGCTGACAACTTATGCTTATGTGTGGTTAGAAAAGAATTTTACAAAAGAGCATATTGCTAGGGATGGATAAATTATTTCATTTCTTCCTACATTTTCTCAACTTTTTCAGTAACATTTAAGAATTGGTTTGTGAATGTCCATAACTTCTAATTGAGAAAAACAAACATAAGTCCCAACCAAATTCAATAATTGTAGCTGTTTCTAATGGAGATTCAATTGGATTGTATATCGTTGCTATACTGAAAATGAATAATCCCTCAACAAAAAGAAAAAGCAAACTTCATTCACTATTGATAGAGCCATGGTGGCATAGTGGTTAGAATGCAGTATTGCAGGCTGTCTCTGCCTACTGCCAGGAGTTCAATCCTGACAGGGCTCAGCCTTCTATCCTTCTGATGTTGGTAAAATGAGGACCCAACCAGGTTGTTGGGGGCAATATGCTGACTCCATAAACTGTCTAAATGCTATTGCTATTGTGAATGTGACTGAAAATACAGGATTTTTAAAATCATACTGTAAGTTTTATTTT